ACTCTGCCGCCTTTGTTTCTGCTTCTGATGAAGAGGTCAATTGTTGTTCCGACGCCAGGCGGTAACAGCCAGGTCATATGGAGTTCCGTTGTTTGGGGCGGTTTTTCTTTGGAAAACATCCGACGCTTTCGGGATGCTTCCTTCTTGTTTCAGGTATGGACTACAGCATCCTTTGTGAGTCCTTTGAGCTCTTGCTGCCCTGGAGCCGTATCTCCGGTCTTGAGTGGCCCTCTGTTGTGGAGGCTCGCGTCTCAGGTACTTTTTTCAGCATCGCATGGTGGTGGCAGACAAGCTGAGGACTTGCAAGAACGTTTTGTGCAGGTTTTTGGACAAGTGTCCAGTGCTCCTTTTTGTGAAGAAGATGCATGAAGGTTCGTTCGTATGTTCTAGTCGTCATGTGCCTAGTCATGTGCATGTGGGCTTCTTGTTTCAGGTGGTCGGAGCGAACGCTGCGAGCCCGACTGGAAAACGACCTCTCGGCGGGTTTCCCACCAACGCCGACGCGGGTTCAGGCCACGGCGGCGAAGCACCAGGCCTTGCAATTACCGGGCGTGGCAAAGCTTTGGAAAGGCGCGGGCATCGGACGCGATGATGAAAGCATCACAGGGGGGATGTCACAGCAGAACTCGAGGCAAGAGAAACAATGCGAAACACAAGGCCGACCAATTGCAGTTTTGTGATGCCGTCAGCGTTTCTTCATGTTCTTTTTGGGACTCTTAGGTGAGCCTTCAATTCCTGCCAATGACTGGGAGTCACGACGCCCAACTGGAGCCTGCTAGGTCTGCTGCCCTCCACGGAAGGAGGCCTTTTGCGCCTCTCCATCGCCACGTCTGTCGAAGGCGCATGGCGCATGTCGGTCAGTTCGGCGGGTTCGTGGCCTCATCCAACTCGCTGTGGTTCCAAGACTCATACATACCTGGATCTTCCGTGCCGGTGCTGCATCTTGATGCCTTTTCATATGTTTTCATCGATCAAAACCAAGTTTGGCAGACATTTGGGCACAGTTGCAGGATCTAGGTATTAATACGACCCAAGTAGATCAACCTATTCTACCTTGGAGCCAAGGACCACCCCTTTTCCATTCAGCTCCCCCTTTTTCGCATGAAAGGGGGAGCTGCATTCCATCGGGCGGCTGATCCGGTCGTGTATTAAAAAAGACATGAAGACAGTCCAGTCACAAGACGGGGTGCGATCCATGAAGGCGATCGGGGTGCCCCTGTCACATCCACTGGATGGGACTGAATACCACCTCGTCTTGTGACTCCTGGGGTTCTCAAGGAACTGGACCGCAGGGCGTGGAGAGGACACCAGTCGGCACTGGTCCGACGCCAAACAGCTGCGCCAACGTCTCGATGGTGTTCTTTGATGCGAAAGCAAACTGATGGAGACAGGAGGGACTGTGGCGACCAGCTGGTTTGTGAACAGGTCGTTGCTTTTTGCGATCCTCTGCAATTCAATCAGAGGAGACTGACCGGCAGTCAGTGTCCTAGAAAGTCATGCAATTGAAACAAGACAATGTGCCTTTCGAAGCATCTCCTCTCATGTGAGAGATCTGGCAGGTTTCGAGTGGGCAGCTGCCTTGGAGGCCTTTCAGGGCCTTCAAGATGCAGCTCGAAGAGTCCTGGAACAGCAGGCAGACCCAGGTTGGAAACAAGATACAGGCGCTCTCGGCACGTCATGTCAGACGTGGGAAGTCTGGAAGACGAGCATTTTTTTCGTTGCAAGTTTGGAAGTATGTCAGATAAAGAGCTCTTCCCTAGCCTTCAAAGACCATTAAAAGAATGGTTGACCTGGTGGTGTAGTGTAAACATCCTTAGTAAAACAGTGGTTCTTTGGGTAAAGACCATTAGAACAACGGTTGTTCGAATGCTAGGGAGCTCTTGCTCTTTGAACATTCTCTTGCTCCTGAGTTAAGTTACCCCCGGGCCCCGGGTAAGGTTAAATAAGATCAAACTGTGTACGAACCATCTAGGAACCAAATCATTAGTGCGAGCGCTTGTTCAAGGAAGCTTCCCCCGCCTTGGGGGAGCTTCCTTGAAGAGGCTTGAGCTATCCTGCGTCCTAAGTAGCTTAAGTCAGGTACTGGCTACCTCTCCCTTACTGTACTTATATAATGAAGTATATAGGCTCCTACTTAATTAAGGGGCAAAACAAGAAGTGGTCTTCGTTTTCGCCCATGCGCTTCCACCGGGCCGTGCCGGAAAGCTGCGGTGCCCCACGTGAAAGACCCCGGTGGTTCGACCGGTTCGACCGTCGGGCGTGCGGGACGGGCGGTCAAGGTGTGGCCCTAACGAGTCTGAAAGCTGCGCTGGATCCACACCATGTGCTGGGCTAGGGAGTCTGAAGGGCTTAAGACAGCCGAGCTAAGCCCTTTCTTTTCCGCGTCTCTGAAAAGGCTTTGTTGGTTTTGGGGGGCGGGTGAACCAACAAAAACGACGGCTTGTCGGTGTGAAAGGCAGTTTCGGAGATCAATGGACCTAACACCTGGAGCCCGACCCATTTGAGAATATGGTTTTGCTCCGGTCAAGATGCCACACCTGCAGCCCGACCGGTCCACCATGTACGTATCTACGGCTACACGAACGACCGGTCCACCAGCTAGATAGGCAACCAGCATATCCATGTACGTATATCCCACGGCCATATGACTGTTAATGGAAGACGTCGGAGACTGTGACAGGGATTGGCCGCCATGCTAAAGCATGGCACCTGTACAAAGCAACTCGGATGACGAGTCATTCATTCGTGAGCCAAATGTGCGTACGAGTCACCGCCTGGACCTTTTTGTCGTGTACGAACTTGCAGAGCCATGCGGAGCCAGGGTCACGGGATACTTCGCCAGTGTAGACACGTGCAGAGGCAAGTCGAAAGGACTCAGGGACCTGATCTTTTTTGTGTGTTTGCTCCACTCTGATCGCTGGGAAGAGGTTGTGATTTGTGATGAGTCTGATTACAGGCTTAACAACAGGCTTACAGGCTTAAGTGACACGTCAATGTGCATGTGCCATCATGTGCCGGACTTGCATCATATTGGTCTATTATTGGTCATCAGTCATTTATAGTCAGTTGATCGCTTGGCACAAATCACATGGACACGAACGCAACACTTCCGGCGGATTCCTGCGGATTCCATCTGGGCCAACGACTCCAGATTCGGGCGCGATGGATGGCAGCCATGCACCTTTGTGGCGCTGTCATTCTGACAGGAGCGGACCGTGTGGTGCTTTGACCGTGCTTTGACCGTGCTTTGCGTAACTGTGCTTTCTTCATGGTTCTTGGGCCTCCTGTTGCTGTTGGTTGGATCTTAAGAGATTCTGTAAGAGGCTTTTCTCATGCCAATTTCCACTCTTCGACACCTATTCCGCTCGCGGCTCACGGCACGCCCGACCTCTGCACCGTTCGCTCTGGCCTCTGCGGCCTCTGCGGCCCGCAGGATTGGGTGCACTCTGCCGAGGTGACGAGGCGTCGTCGAGGCCGAAACCGCATGGGGTCGTGGACGGTCGTTGGACCGGTGGGATGTGGTGGGATGTTCGGAGTGAGTGTGTAGAGTGTGTAGACCCCGTAGATCCCTACTAAACTGTATTGGAAACCGTGCCACCATCTATTTGGGGATCAGTTGATGTGAGTCGTATTGGTAGATTCCTGGAAGAGTTCGTGGTGCGCTTTGGCAGGAGTGTGATCATACTTCCTGATGGGAGCCTCTTGCAAGAAGGAAGAGAAGATGGGAGCCTCTTGGATGAATGTAGCACTCAGGCACTCAGTGCCTTGTTTGATTCCTCCTTGAGCTGGTGCCGAAAGATATATTTATATATACGATGATATATATATATATATTACATAACGCCCGTGATGCCAGCACGGTTTGTCCAAAACCACCGACACTAACCCCCGGCCTCGCAGCCGTCTCTGGCTAGACGTGCGGTTTTCCTCGCGGTTGTCCGAAAACCGCGTGGCGTATCTGTTGCAATGCAGCTCGTTTTGACCTCAACCTTCTTGGTCCTGGCCTTGGCCAGGCACCGCGTTTTTTCGCGTGCCAAAGAGTGAACGGCATCCGGGCATGCCACTCCAAACGAACGACACATCAAGGAATCCACCCTTTGTGGGGTTTTTGGCATGGTTTTGTGGGTTTTGATGTTCAGCTTACAGAAACTCTTCACCAGGTTCCAACTGAAGCCTCATCGCCGGGCTTTCCGCGCGAGGCCTTTCCACAGTGGTCACCAGTCCCTTGCTGTGGATCTGGTGGGGCGTTCCCCAAAGGCCTGGCTCTATGGAGGTGCTCCAGGACCCAAGTGCCATGACAAGAAAGTGGTGGACTCCGGCAGCGAGGCTTGGCAAGGCAGATTGGTCCTCTTTCTTTTGCAGTTGTTTCTCCAAACCTTTTGTACAAGGTCCCCAAGGTTTCAATCTCTTGGATGCAAGACGAGCTGTTCAATCCAAACCAAGAGCTCCAAGGACAAGTTTGTGCAATGCCCCAAAGATTGTCCCATCTATGCGGACGACCGTGCTGATGGCATCGACTGCAACTTCGAGTGTGTGGAGGTGAACCAAACCGACCGCGTGGTGCTAGTCAGAGTTACGAGAACTGACAGAATCTAATGTACATTGAGTGTGGGTGTCTTGTAGACAACCGGATGAATTCAGAGACCCCCAAACACGGAGATTCTCAAGTTGATTCAGGTATGTAGTATGGAGCCTGGGGGTGTTATTCCGCATTAGGTCGTGTATTCGAACAGGCAAGGTGTGCCGGTGGTTTCATGGGTAGATTGGTCTATATCATCCCTACTTCTGTCGAACTGGGAGGTCTCCCTGTTTCAATACTACTCCATTCTTATGCATTCATCAGCAGTCTAGATTGGTGTGTCACGAAAGCGATCTCCGAAGGAGGTCAGCTGAAGTTTCAGTTTACGACCCCCCCCCTACCCTTAACGTATTGAAGCGATATTGATTTGGGGGCCCCAGGCGCACTTATATAATTAATGTAAGCGAAGATAACAACGTAGCCACTAAATGGACGCAATGACGCCGCTAAATGGACGCAATGACGCCGCTAAATGGACGCAATAACATGGACGCAATGACGAATGCTAAGAGAATGCACACCAAGGCGGAGCCCACTGAGCCCGCTGAGCCCGTCGACCCCGTCGAGCCCGCTGA